CTTTTTCCTTTACCATAAGTGCAGGTTAAGGCGCTGCCGGTAGTTGAATACGGCATTAATAAATTGATCTGTAGATCTGAGAGCCAGGCAAATGTCAATCAAGTTTGGTCATTAATCCGCTTATGTTACGCTACTGACAATGCCTCTTGTTTTAGCCAGTCGTAGACATGTCGCTGGTAACATTTCAAACATTTCTGATCATAGTAATGAATGAAAAAAATAAAAAAAAATTCTCCCGGAATCAAAATTTAGTGCAAGAATTTCCTACTGTCACAAATATTCCAGTGCCTCCAGAACCGTCGACAACGGAAAAGTGGAAGTCATCGACACAGTTCTCGAACAAAATTCAAGCAATTAGATATGAATCAGATTACAGAAAGATTTAAAGGCTGATCACTGATCTGCAATTAGTCAACCAGCATGGCCAGAAGAAACGGTAGTGAAAGTTTTGTCCTTTGATGCACCTTTAGTTGGATGACTTTCGTGTATTGCCAATACAGGGGGAAGGGACATTTATGGACGAAAATCTGCACACGGTGTGAGTGAAGAAGCTCAGGAAGTAGCAGAACTCGGCAACGGGTTCTTTTCGATCTGGTGAGGTGACACTTCAGGTGAGGTTTGTAACGAACTGATTTCAAGAATAACGAAATATAGCATGGAAATCTCTACTTATCCGAGAGATGAAATGAACAACGCCAGAAACCTGACGCCAGTGACTGATAAAGCACACTAATAAGATTTGTACACCAATATATGCCGTTATCCCATATGATTACGGATGAAGGTGTGCCGGTTGGTATTCGAACATGCTTATGTTAGACTTGAGAGAGTGAGATGTTGTCTCGTTCCCATGCATTGCCGCCGCTAAAACACCATAGATCAGTCCCCTGTCTGAAACGTCCGAATGGCTGTTACGAACATGTGGGACGGTGCGATTACGCCGTGTCAATGAGGATGAGTGATAGGTGAGGCTCACGTTTGCTTCACAGACTTTTTATTGGGTCATTCCAGCTGAATGTTCAAATCTAAAGAGAGAAGAGTGCTGAAGGAATATGGCATGAACAATCAGCCGGTTAAGGGCCGTGGCTTCCTAAATGACCATTGGTCACTGTCAAGCAAGGGTCGTACCTCTTCTTCTCGAAATGATGCAGTTTACAGAGGAAGAGTATGTGGTTGTATGCAAGTAGTCACGTCCATTTGCTTCCTCCCACGTGATCTCCAAGGTGCACTGATTGATTCACTTCTAAGATGAAGGATCAGCTAAAAAACCGATGTTATTGCACTATCGAAAAAAAGCCATTTCATGCCCTCTGCAGGTAATTAAGTGCAGTTGAAACGCGTGTTTGGGTAACATTTACAAGTGACATCAGACAGCGATCAAAACTAACTTATGAATGAGTCAAGTAGGGCAGCAATGCGAGGGTTCGCCCACTGGCTAGTGACACAGGCATGAGTGATCAGCAGCACACTACTATCACGTGGACCTAAACCGGCCTGTAATTGGCGACTGGTCGCGCTGACCGCAGTGCTTTGTGTTGTCATAGAGCAAGAAGTTTAGCCACCCGCAGAGAAGGCTGACGGTGACATGAATTTCGTACAGTTGGGTTACCCCAATTAACTGCGGTCTTTCATTGAAGTTTTCTCTTGTAGCCTTTGATGAATCAACGTCTAATCGCAAGACAACGGTGACACTGAAATTTCTTCAGAGGGTCGGATCACCTTCGCGAGATTGTCATTAGGCGTTGTGCTATTTTTATAAGGAAGAAGGTTGTCGAGCTCGAACCCAGCCACCGCAGATGGTTTCACAATGACAGAGAGACAAAGTGCAGAGCTGTAAGACTTCCAAACGTTTATACGTTACTAAATTGAAGTACCGAATAAATGCTTGATATTGACTGAAAGTATGTGATTACAGAAGCTAAAGGCAAAAATGAGACTCCTTCGAATTTAAGGCCCATTTTCCTCACGGCCAGGCTTCATTTTTTAGTTGTTAGAGTTTCTGAAGCAATTTGCGGAAGCACTGCATTTGCAATAATTGAACAAACACCTTAGAGCAAGCATAAAAGAACAACCAGCTAAAAACCTTTGTCGTTGTCAAGCACATTCGTGTTCATGCAGATACTTTCGAGGATTGTTTGATGAACGATACTCCGCATTACTCCAGTTCAAAAAGACAATCGCCTGAATCACGACTGAAGAAATTCTTTCTCGTCCGTTAAATGAGATACGTCTCAGCGGTGTGTGGGAGAAACTGCCAGAGAAGAGTTGACAATCTTTGAACCTCATCCAGACCCTCGTTTGCATTGAGTAAAGGACAAACGGTCATCCTTTAAAGAGGTAGGCAGTAGCCAGAAGCTTTTGCTAGAAACAGATGAAGCAATCAAGGGGAGGAGATCGTCTGCAAAGAGAAAAAGTCTCAATCTAATAATCAGCATTCAATCTAAGCGCCATTTTGGTCAAGCCGTTAATCGCACTTCGCAATTAGCTGATATGTGGGAAACTCGCCATTCAAAAAGACATAGCTTAAGACCTTGAGGTGCGGTCTTTGTATTCTGGATAAACAATAAGTTGTCATTGGAAACACGAACCGTCCGAGGAATCAGTCCGAAGCGGATCACTTACAAACAAAGCACTTTTTTGTACAGGTCGCGATCGCTTTCTGACTGGCAAATCCACCGGCTTTGTCAGCGTTGCTATTGGGGCACTAAATCTGGCCGATGTAACTATGATAAAAACCATATAATTATTTGCATATATGCAGTATCCGGCTTATATGTAGAATATTCCATCTAGAATCCATCCAGCATAGAATAATGTGAGTGTATTATGAGGAAGAGCTCATTCACGAAAATTGCTGCCAACGATAAATGTGGCTTTGAAGCGACATGTAAAAGTAAAGATACGATAAATCGCGCCATTTGCAGCCGTTCGACATGGGTTGCCCCAGAGTACATCGATTCCATTTTCTTTGAGGAGTAGTTTTATAGTGCAATTTTTCTGTGTTGCATGTGGGCCACAGAAAAATTCCCCACCGCTCTCTAAGAAGGGGTGTGCTGACGAGAGTTTCCTTAGCCAATAACGAGGTGTCACGTGACAGGAAATAAGGGCAATCACACAAATTTCTGGATCATGATTATATTGTATCCAAGAAGTGCCACTGACCTGGATAATTACGCCATTTCATCTATGAGCGCTGCG